CGCGCGCTCGCACCGCGCAGGCCGCCCGGGAGGATGCTGCGCCGCACGCCTCGTGACAACCACGGCGGAGCGGCTCAGGCAGGTAGAATGTCAAATTGTCTCCCAGGGTGCCGCAGCCGAGCGCGCCGATTCCTACCCATCTGTCTTCTATCATGTCCGCCAACAGATCTGACAATTATCTTAATGCCCATATGCTTAATTGTGGGCTTCTCAATTCCCCCATTGCTATCGGAAATCCTGCAGGAATTTCAATTTGGCATTCGGCTTTCATTTTGGGGGATCAGATTCGCAGGCCTGCCATTTTTTTTCCCCGTAATGCCGGCTAAGCCTCTGACAGCGGGAGCTGCGGCAGCGAGCGGCGCGGCCCCCGCTCCCCCCAAACATAATAACGTGTCACCTGCCTTTCCAAAATGAGAAGCCCCGTCCAAATTAGCGCTCGCTGGATTTCATCAACCACCGAGTCCTAAACCCAAAGGGGCGCCGTCCCTGCCAACGCCGTGACTCCGGGTAATATACCAATAAAGGTTTTATTAAACACTCCAGTAATGCCATCATCGGAGCTGACAGCACGGGCGCGATGGAAACGCATCCGTTCCTCTCCTCTACGCGGCTCACAGACACACTCTGCGGAGCAGGGCTGCTCCTTCATTAAATAAAGGAGACCGACGAGAAGAGTTACGCGTCTGAAGAGCAAAACTGTCAGAAGTTGCTTTTGATATCAAAGCACCCGGAGTGGCAACGCTGGCGCTGCCTCCCCGGTCCTGCACGGCAGCTCCGGCTGGCTGCGCTCCGAGCCAGAGAGGTACCGACGGACGTCTGCAAGGACAGACGGACAGCGCGTCCGCACGGAAAACTCCGCGCTCCACCTCCTCAGGTGCGTACGTCCCCTAACGCTCGAGCCAAAAGGGCGATAAACCCCGCAGAGAACTGTAAATCGCTCTTTACACTCAAAAAGTAAGTTCTCGGGCAGATAAAAAGATGGAGGGATGTTTCTGATCAGACTTACAAGATAATATAGGATAATTGTTAACAGCAAGTCGAGACCGCAGTAAGAAAGATAAAAGGGAATCCTGCCAAGGGGAACTTGAGAAAATCTTTTACTACTAGATGAAATGCAAATAACCAAAAGCAAGTGTAAAATAGCAGAGACAAAAACTCTCTCTTTGTTGAGACGTTACAATTTTTAAAACATGAGATACTAAGACTGGAACCAGCATTATTCAGTTTTAAGAGAGAATCAGTTGTTACGGGGCGCTGAGAGCTCGGCAGTTCCACTTCCTGAAATCCCAATGCAGGAAACACAATGAAGTCCTGCTGACATCGTTCTGAGGAGAAAAAGTATTTTCTCCCCACACCTATGAAAGAAAACACCTGGTGAAACAGGCTGTCCTGCTCCATCCCCAGCGATACCCAGCTCCGACCCTGGGCAACCGACCTCGCTTGGGAGCTGGACCCGACTCCCAGTCCGGCCCCACCGTGAGCAGGGGGTTCACCCCGGCCACCTGCACGAGTCCCCTCTGATCTACATTTTTCTGTGATTCTACAAAAGACAAAAACCATTAAACCATTTCGTTTTGAGGTCTACGAAGACAAAAGAAACATATGATACCACTTCTGGTTGGCAACCAACCACCACCCTTCGAGCAGAGCTCCCGAGAGCGGCTGGATGCTGTAAATGCGCGGTGACAGACACCACGTCTCGCTCCCTTTTCCTGCCAGCCTCCGTCCATGACCTGTGCTGGCGGACAGACAGACAGACAGACTGACTGACCCAGAGATGGCAAGCATCCCGTCCTGCTCCTGCCCCGGAGCAGCCCACCTCCTTCCCTGGACCACCTCCGTTACGGAGCTACGCGAGATGCCTCCAGTTGGGTGGTCCAGCTTGAAGAGGGACAACCTGGCTACCTCGATTATTTGGCCTGACTTCTTGAAGACTACGCCTTGTTTTACCACGTCAAGAAGCAGACAAGGTAATAATCAAAAGTTAATGATTTGGAGGATTTCTAAACTGAAGTGTTGAATTCAGATGCAAAAACCCCGATGTCATAAAGTCACCACCACTTTACCGCTGACATACTGATATATAGTTCTATTTATATTTTTAAAATTCGTTCCAATAAAAAAAGATTTCCTCACATTTCTTCTCCTTTAGGTTCTCAAGAGATCTGGAAGGTAACCACCTATGGCTCACAACTGAATGATAAAAACTATCAATTCTTTTATTCTTTTTTACAACCCACTATGGGATCAATCTTGCTTGTTGAGATTTGCAGCTTTTTTCCCTGCCAACTAGCAAATTCCAGGCATGCTTAGCGAGCCTGCCCAACCTACGGCCATCCCTGCATGAAAGAAAGACCACTTCTTATCCACTGTGACTGACTTCAAGCCCGTTTTCCCCTCTCCCTGCATGGGAGGCAGGCACCCCGAGACGGGATGGAGCTCCGGCTGCAGCAGCCCTCCCATCCACGATCCTCCCCGTGCCACAGCGAGGGGGCTGCTCCGATACACCGGCGCTTTCTAACTCCACGGTTACACAAACCACCACCTTGCAACGGCCTTTCCACAGCGTGTTTTCCTGGATAGTTTATTTCTCCAGTTTCAATCACTTGCAAGAATATTCAGGCAGCCCCATTGCTTCGTTACCCCCACAGAGTGTATTTTATGAGACACAGAAGACTTCAACTCCAACTCTACCAGGCTACAAACACCTCTGCGTCTGTGCATACGTGCACACACAGGTATCTATAGTAAAAGCCCCAAACTAACCCACACCGAGTACTTCCACAAGCAGAGGACTACGAGGGCCGGTTCCCGGCAGTGCTGTGGTTTTCACCACGCCACCTCATCTCCCCTGCCCACGGGATGCTCTGGCCTGCACGGGTACCCAAACGACTGCTTTTACAGCAAACTTCAGGCCTCAGATGTCCCCTAAAATGGGCTGGCCACTTACTTCTCTCTTTAAACATCATTTCCTTTTCTCCTTAAATATCATTTCCTTCTTTCCTTTAAATGTCATCAGGGGTTTCCACCCAACCACCAAGAGCTCAGGACCTTCAAGAGCACCGCCACGCTGCCGAACGCGGCCGAAACCCACCATCTGCCAGGGGATGCAGGGATGCGACTTACTGAAATAAAGCCTGTCCTACAGAAAGCGTTAGCGACTGAAAGCAGCAACGCCTGCGAGCCTGGGGTGTGGGCAGCTCCCGGCACCCCCAGGGACGCAGAAGATGCTGCATTTTCTGCTTCCCCCTCCCTCCGCAGCCAGCAGTGCCGCCGGTTTGTCTGTTATACAAACAACAGCTCTACCCTGAGGTGGAGCGAAGATATGAATCATTCCCCCCAGCCCGGGAGTGTAGATTATAAATAATACTTATCTTTAGAGAATCAAACTCACTTTGAAGTTCTATTAATATTTTATTTATTTCCATCTCTTTAAACAGCCCCCTACTGCAGCACTCAGCAGACTGGAGCAGAAAAAAAACCCCAACAAAGAACAAATCCTAAAATGTGCATGGGAGGTATAAGCGGGCTCTGCTGTTGATGTGCAAATGTCTGCCTTAACCTCCCCTTCGCAGTCACCAGCTCAGGCACCCAGAGGTACCCAAGCACACGTGTGCGTACTCGGGTGTGAGGTACAGTCCGCTTGCGATAATTCCACCAAAGGGAAAAAACGTGAGAAGCCCCAGTCCTGTGGGGTTTTGGCTATTAAGGTTAAAAAGGCTTCTGGAAGATAAATAAATACTGGTACAGAGAAGGCTGATCCCAGAGTAAGGATCAAAAGCGTTCTGCGGACCTTCCAGCGCAGGGCTCTTTGGAGGCACCTGCGCAGGTACTAGGCTGATGGACACAGCACGAAGACCTGGACAGACGATGCCTGAATTCACACTTGCATTATTAGTCTTTTATGGCATTTTAAAAACTTCAATAGCTGGAAGAAGGCTAGACCTTGTCTTCTCTTACCTTTGCATTTTCATTTTTATATAGGGTAACAGGTCCTCAGTACAAACATCAGGTTTTTCTGGTTATGCTAGCCTGTACGTACTCCAGATTACCTGCACTATCTATGCATTCATCGTGAATGGGAAGCTGTTTTAAAAAAATATGTGGAAATTAATTCTTGAATACTCAGCATTTCTTGATGGAGATGTATATGCATAGTTAACCCAGATAAAGAATGTGACGCTCGGATGCCGGGAAGGAATTCACAGTTTCGCCTTTGTTCCACAAAGTGCGTTTTTCCTTCTTTTTTAAAAAGTAACTATTCTGCTGCCTGAGATGCTCGTTTCGTCAACGTCAAGACGTACGGCATTGAATTTGGCCGTTCCGCAATGCCCGTTAACATCACCCCCGCAGAGAAGTGCCCCCAGAGCAGGCTGTTGGCCAAAGCCACCCCTCCACTGCTCCAGACGCGGATGCCCCCCCAAAAAGTGAAACCCCGCTCTCCAAACGTGCCTTCCCAGCCGCTGCCTCGGGGACCAGGAGGAACAGGGGCCGGGGC